TTATGTACTTCACAATTATAGAAGTCTAATAAACTGTTAATTAGTTATCAGGAACAACAAAAAAGTCAAACTGATTATGCCTCAATGTTTAATCCAGTCATGTGAAAAAGAAAGTACACCTTCTTTGAATTCTTTGGTTTTACAACGTAATAAAAATAATCTGGTCCTTAGTAGGTCTGAAAATTAGGTAAATACAAACTCAGATGAATGACAACACATAACATATTATACTGTGTCATGATTTATTTAACAAAAATAAAGCCAAAATGGGGAAGCCACATGTGAAAAACAAGGAATATTGTATGATTCAACCACCTTTAGCAGCAGTAACTTCAAGTAATTTTTTTTGTATGACTTTATCAGTCTCTTGTGGAGGAATTTTAGGCCACTCTTCTTTACAACGTTGCTTCACTTAATTGAGGTTTGCAGGTATTTGTTTATGCACTGCTCTCAGAAGATTCTGCCACAGCATTCCAATTGGGTTGAAAGCTGGACTTTAATTGGGCCATTGCAACAGCTTGATTTTTTTTTCTTTTTCAGCCATTCTGTTGTACATTTGCTGGTGTGCAATATAGTCCTGTTGCATGACCCAGTTTCAGCAAAGCTTTAGCTGTTGGACAAATGGCCTCACATTTGACTCTAGAATACTTTGGTATATAGAGGAGTTCATGGTCGACTCAATGACTGCAAGGTCCTGTGGCTGCAAAGCAAATCCAAATCATCACCCCTCCATCACTACTGTGCTTGACAGTTGGTATCAGGTGTTTGTGCTGATGTGCTGTGTTTGTTTTTTGCATTATAGCCAGACAGTCTTTTCTGCTCAAAAGACATTGATCCAGAAGTCTTGTAGTTTGTCCAGATGCAACTTTGCAAACCTAAGCCATGCAGCTATGTTCTTTTTAGAGCAAAGACGCTTTCTCCTGGCAACCCTTCCAAACAAATCATACTTGTTCAGTCTTTTTCTAATTGTACTGTCATGAACTTTAACATTTAGTATGTTAAAGGTCGGTAGAGTTTGAGATGTAACTCTTGGGTTTTTTGCAATTTATCTGAGCATTCCATGGTCTGACCTTGAGGTAAATTTGCTTGGATGTCCACTTCTGAAGAATTGGTGACAGTCTTGAATGTTTTCCACTTCTGAATAATTTCCTCATTGTAGAATGATAGACTTCAAATTGTTTGGAAATACTGTAGCCTTATAACACTTCCCAGATTGATGGGCAGCAACAATTGTTTCTCTGTGATCATTGCTGATATGTTTCCTCCTTGGCGTTATGTTAAAACCTACCAGAATGCTCTAGACCAGAAAACTGCTAAAATGTTGGCTTTTGTAAAGATGGTCACACTTGCTGATGATAAATTACTCAAGGGCATTTGGTTAGCAGCACCTGGCTGCTACTTAGCCTCTTAATTGCTATGGAAGCAGTAAGGGTGTACTTAGTTTTTCACACATGGATTCTCCATTTTGGCTTTATTTTTCTTAAATATATCATGACACAGTGTAATATGGCATGTGTTGTTGTTCATCTGACATGTATTTATCTAATTTTCTGCTAAGCTAAGAACCCGATGATTTTTATTATGTCCTGATACATAAAACCATATAATTCAAAGAGGGTGTACTGTCTTTTTCACAGGATTATAAGTGAAGAGTGCAATCTGTTACCTCATTTTACCAATCTACAAAAAGGCCAGTACCTTAGTACTATTACATCTATAGCATTTGTGAGGGGAATACAGCCGCCTGATATGTGTAGAGGTGCATCATAGTCCCAACCTTGGACATTTGTTAAGCACTACAAGTTTGAGATCAGGCCTAAACATGATGCTTCATTTTGCAGAGCAGTGATCTATTCTACAAATATTGACGTGTAAGTGAGCTTGTCAGTCGCCCATTGGTGTGAATCACAGAGACCATGAAGAAGCAGCACAGGTAGCTTACCTGTTACTGATTCTTTGAGTAGTCATCTGTGAATTCACAAAACCCACCCTTCCTACTACCTTCAGTCTGTCATGGACATGCGTGTTTCCATCAGCAGTGGACTGGGGGAACTGAGGTTTAGCTGCAGGGTGTGGAGCCTATGCTATGGAGAGGGTGTTGTCTGATAGATTTTTTAGGTTCCGGAATGTTCAGAAGATGTCTGTGTAGATGCAGAAGGAACTCATTGGTGTGAATTTGCAATTGACCACTCAAAGAATCACAGTTACAGGTAAATAACCTGTGTGTTTATATCACTTCAGGTGGTATCTCCTAAAACATTGCAGTCAATGTTTGCTGAATTTAATTGAGTACCACTCTTGTTCTGTGGTTTGTGTGAACTCTAAAAGAGGAAAGGAAGCCATCTGAAAGTGATATGAGATTATGAATGCTCAAATGAGAGGAAATGATTTGTCAGAATAGCAAGCTTAAGGGAAAATTGATAAAATTTTGAACTATTTATTTCATTTCAGTTCTTCTAACATGTTCCTGTGGCAGCTTATAGAGTTTCAAAGTAAAAAATATAGCATGAAATACAAACACAAGCTAAAGACAGCATTTTTGAATGGGCAATACAAAACGAAGCAGTGGATAGACTGATCCTCCCTTAATGAGCTAGGAAAAGATATTCTGTGTTTGAACACCTATCAAATGCTGTGTCCAGAATGTGTGGTAGGGTCCTTCCCTCTTCTTTTTTGCCCATTTATAAGATGTTTTATTATGCAAGTCCCATCTAGGGCAGACTTATCATTGGACTGATTCTGTGAGCTTGTTGGGCTAAAGCTCATATAGTCTATCCATGCCCAGAACCCCTCCTCCCAGCAGAATTGCCACTGTGCTAGGACATCCACACTACATTTTCTACAGATGTACATTTATTTATTTGCTCTCCTGCTGGGTTTCCATCCGCTCTGCCAGCTGAGTTGCACTAATGGTCTCTCCTGAGATCCTTCAGTTGGCTGCCCTATAAGTATACTGTTCCCTAAAAACAGTTAAAAGTTAAAGATAAGAAAAATGTAGAAGTAGAAAATGGGAATACTGTACTTTTTAAGTATTCATCCCACTGAATCTATTCGGTAAACATAGAGCTAGAAATACGGTTGAATCAGTTTTTTAAAATCACTTTTCAAAATGAGAAAGGCCATTAAATAGCTGCTTAGTGTATGGGTTATAGGTATTTTATTTGCTTACACATGCATGAAATAGAGCTCTAGAAAAACATTTAGTTGCATCATTCCTTAGAAGGTAAAGTTACTTAAAGTTAGATGAATTATTCTGGCGTAAACATCTTTTAATTTAAGATGGATTGGTGTAAAGAGAACAAGTCAACATATATTTCCTTGACAGAAATTGTAAAGTATTTAGCCACGGAGAAAGGCAAAACTACTTATTTGGGTTACAGTTCCCAGTATACCACAGCCAGCATGGCTGGTGGCCAGGCTGCAGTGGAGTGTTCTGGGAATTGTAGTCCAAAAACTAACAATTCTGTTCTCTGTTCCGGCATGCCATTTGTATCTATCAAATGTGGAGTAGGCAGGAGTGGATTTTGAATGGAAGTGTAATTAGTTTAATTCAAGTTTGATTGAGTTCTGGTATTGAGCATTTCTTAATTATAGGTGCATATTTTTCATTTCTCACAGCAGTTAGTGGATCTTGGAGTTCTCGTGAAAACAAAATAGATTCTAGAAGCCTGAGGTTTGTCCTTAGTCGTATAAAGTCCCTAGAACTTCCCCATTTTAGCATATTGAAAGTTTTGACTGTTCTCTTATAGCAGTTGTCTCCCTCTGTACATACCTTATGTTGCTTGAAATGAATGAAAAAAATCTCTTCACTTATGTGGGACGAAATTAACTTCTGCAATTGCAGTGCGCCAGCAAAAGGTACAAAACCTGACTTCCACTGCAGACTATAAATAATATGACCTTCACCACCATCATGAGGCAAGCAGTACCCCTGCCTTTCTCTCACACATTACTTCTTTCCCTCTCTACCCAGCACCTTATCAGGAGTGAAATTTAGGACGGATGAGGAGAGAAGGAGCGATTCACAGCTGGGCAATATTTACCTTTTTTTAAACTTGGAGCTTCCACTTTTTTTTACATTAAAAAGAAGTAATGTTGAAAAGCTCTGTTTTTGAGTATACAGTATTTCTCTTTATAACCTGAGGACTGTATCTGGATTGAGAGAACAAGAGGCATTTCCAATTTGCATAAAACAGGCTTGGAAATGATAGACATCAAAGTCAAACACTTCTGAAAGGCACCAATATAGGAAAGTCTTCAGTGGACATATAAATAATATATATATATAATAAATGCCAAGAATAATCATAAGAATTCCAGGTGCTTACTGTTAACTGTGGGACAGATTTGAAAAACATACTTGTATTAAAAATTAAAGAAACATAATAGAGAAATAATACGAAAATATAATAGCATAAAATATATTATGTGCCAATGATGATATACTCAGGTGTTCCATTATGGTCCAGAATGGAAACATTGTTCAGAATTGGTTGTATACTTAGTGCCACATGTTCTTTGATCCAGCACAGGTTTCTATTAATAGAACAGGAAAGAAGACAATTTTCACTAACTCTGTCTTCCCCCTCTACCTTCCCACTTCCCATGTTTTTGAAGGGTTCCTTCAGCAAGAATTCCTGTCTTCCCCCTCTACTGATGGAACCCTCCAAGAGATCAAAAGCCTCCAGTCAGTGGAGAGATAGAAATAGGTACAATTCAAGAGTATTTATAAATGCATAGCATACGATAAATGAAACTCCTTAGTCATTCAATTTGCTCTCAGTTTCCGACATCCAGCTATGTTGAACAGATGTCCTGATGTGAATAGACTCATCATGCATTTAGATAAGACTGTCTTGCTTGCTTATTAGGCATTATAAAAATATAAGACAAATGGGAAAGAGGGATTTTCTCATCTCTGCCAATAATATTTGTCCCAGAAATATGTAAGACTCTGTTCGTCTAATGTTTCATTGTTGTCTTCTATTTATGTACTACAGAGCATCAAAACTACTTTGGAATAGATGAAAATTTAGGACCAGTAGCAGTCAGCATCCGAAGGGAGAAGTTTGAAGATGCAAAAGAAAAAGAAGGTTCACAGTTCAACTACCGTATAGTGTTCAGAACAAGTGAGGTAGGGTTTCTGCACTGCTCCAGAATTAGGATGATGAAAGAAAAATAATATATCAACAAAGCTATTTGCATTCCACGTCTGATTTCTCTTTGTACTTGTAGATATTCCTGATTCACATACAGGCAATTTCAAGAAGAACTTTAGATACCAGCAATAGAGGCATAGAAATTTACCTTTTATTGCCCATGTTATAGGTATCTCAAAAATTTGGTCACACAAAAGCACAGTACCTAGGTGTAAAATATCTGCACTTCTGAAAGCTTAGACTGGGGAAGAAAAGGTAACCTTTCATTCAGAAGGGCAAGGTGCTATCAAGCAGAAATGAGACAAAGAAAAAGGCACATGCACCTGCCTGTCTGCCTTGCTTGCAGAGCTAAAATAGAATATATCTGGCTGATTCAAACCAGACTGCTAAGCAAGAAGAAAAAAATATCACTTTTTATTCCATGGCTTTGTTTTAGGTATCTTCAGCCCTTAGATCTCTTGATAGTTGAATAACATTCTGATTTGTGCCCATTTCCGATTTCCAGATTACTCTGTGGGGCAAGTTCATTTCATATTGTATGTGTGCACATAAGGAATATCAACTGGTCCTCAGGAGCTCATGCGCAGAAAGATATGGTAATAATGACGTTGGTACACTTTCTCCAGCTAGCCTAAATTATGGGAATTCCTGCTAGACACCAGTTCATGCAATATATTTTTATTACTGTAAGCAGAGGAATGAGATTGGTTTGGCCAGATGATTTTTCAGGCAATCCCTATCCATTGTGCAGTCCTTGAATGTATTAGTATTCAGGCAGAAAGTTTGATACCAAGTCTCTCTTTTTGCAGAGGGGACAGGGGAAGAAATTTCAGATGTGTGCCTCTTCCCAGCATATGCCAGTTATTCCATCTATCCCTCCTTGATCCCAGTCTTATCTGTGAATGTGCCTCCTATTTACGGTTGCTATGTTTGTACTTCACTTGGCTTTGATATTCTAGGATTTTTGTGCCTTTTGCTGCTCTCTTACTATTCATATCAAATGATTCTGTCTTGTAACAACTATTCATTTTATTTCATTTTGAGTGTCATTTTTAAGTTGTCTGGCTTTTACTAAAACCTTGCTGTGTTGAGAACTACACTTACACAGAACCCTATGTTTTCTTGGAAATAAGCCCTAGTGAGTTATTTGTGGCTCATTCCCATGTAGTGTGTATATATGATAGTAGTCTTTCTTTTCTTTTACGTATAAGTTATTTTAATTTCTTTCTGTAGAGAGTCTCATGGATGAAATTATGTGACCTTCAGATATAAAAACCTAATGATAATTAACAATTGGGTGGCTGACAAAGAATATATAGAAAGATTCTAGCTAGAGACAGGTAGATGTAATGAGGGTCCAGCCCCCTGGGGCTTGACCATCCACTCACTCAGCCAGCACTGACTACGCTCTCCCTTCCAGTTGCTCCGGAGCTCCTGATCGACTATCCACTCCTAGCAGGAAAAGGGAAGAAGAATCTCCATGCCAAGCTGATGAGTGAATAGCCGACTGGGAGCTCCAGAGTGATTGGAAGAGAGAGTGGAGCTGGTGCAGACAGGTGAGTGGACAGTCCGGCCCATTGTCATGTCCAGCTATGCCGGGGGCATTACCCCCATCTCTAGTTCTAGCCATTCTTAGTTCAGTCATTCATTTTCATCTTAGTCATAAGCTACTAAGAAATAGATTTAGGTGAAATTGATGTACTCTCCAAAGACAAACAGATGGTGAGCCTGCAAGATTTGAGGTAACAAACAGGCAGACAATAAGTATGGTTTTTGATGCTTGGCAGAAGAGGATTATAGAAGTATAAACTGGTTTAGGAACTGCATTCGAAGGAAGAATACTTGCAGAGAAAAGTCAGAGAAGGAAGGGAGAAGGTGATTGTGACTTTCAGTTACTGCTGAATGTTTATTAATATGTTAGTGATGCTGTAAATTCTGGCTGTTTTACTGTACATTCTGGGTAAGCTATTGGGCTGCTTTACTGCCAAAAGGAAATGATGTTGTGTTCATGGTTTAAAAATGGCACCTAAAATAGCAAGTGAGATAACATTATGATTTGTTCTTTTCTTAGATGAATTTGACAAATTGTATATTTTAAATCTGGTTCTCCAACATAAACTTCTATTATAGTGTTTTTTGTTGAGCTTTCCCCCCTGCTTTTATTAGTGAATCAAGGGAATGGCAGACTTAGAATGGTTTTTATGATGAATGTATTCCTCTCAAATCTTACCATGGCTAACACATACAGAATTAAAGTTTTATTCCTCTAAAGAGATTTCTGATATAGTTTAGACAGTTTGTTTATGTACTACAAGTACATACCCCCAACATGTCTCATCATTAGCTTTCAGTCACCAATTGGACAGAAATGAGGGCCATCTAGAGGGCCACAATAGTTACTTATTGAAAACTTGCTCTGAGAAAGAATCAATATGTAGAGGTTTGATGATAACTTCAGTAACAAGCTCAAATGCTGAATATAGACCAGTTGAAGTGATGAGCAATAGAAAGGATAGTATAAAATGTTAATTACCATTGATTCAGTACAGACATAAGCGAGGCTCCAATTTTACTTGTTGTAGACTGTGTAAAAATATTCAGTAAGACTTCCACTCTTACTTTAGCTTACAACATTGAGAGGAGCAATTTTAGAAGATGCCATTCCATCCACTGCTAGACATGGCACGGCACGAGGCTTACCTCTGAAAGAAGTATTAGAATATGTAATTCCAGAACTGAGCATTCAGTGTTTAAGGCAAGCTTCCAGTTCACCCAAAGTCTCTGAACAGCTGCTTAAACTGGATGAACAAGGGGTAGGTATTGCATGTTTTTCTTAAACTTGTTTGCACATGTGTTGTCTTGTGATAAACAAGCCTGAATTCATAATCTGGGTTGTCTGAGAAACAGAAGATGTTTACTTACTTACTTATGCTTAGTTCTTTTAAGGAGCTTCAATAAGCTTTTTACATATTTATATTTCTATAGCATCATGAAAACTGTGTGGTTTAATAAGCAGTTTCAAGTAAACATTCAGCATTGGAGAGCTGCTAATTGGATAAAAGAAGAAAAGCATTGGCTTACTATCTCACCTTTCTAGATACTTCATTCACAACAGTATTCTTCCTAGAATGTAAAATCCTAATTGGGATGATTTAATAAACAAATACTGCATAACCAACAAAATTAATGTATGCTTTAAATTCAGAGTGAATAATGTTGAGATTATCTAGCTTTATATCTGCTTTTCTACACAATTAAAAGGTATATTTACTCATCTGAAATGAAAATGTATTTGTGTAAATATGAGTGTAGTTATACATATATGAAAAAATATACTTGCATCATATTTGTACATTAGCTATCTTCTGAAGGACTATATTATACTGGGGATTGTCCAATACTATCTTCACAATTACTGTGGCAGGCAGGTTAAGTGATCTTAGGCTGGTCACTCTTGTGAATTGCATGGTGGACCTTGGGTCTATATCCACAGCATAGTAGGACCCCCTTATCCATGGAATCAGTATCCACTGATTCACTTATCCATGGTCTGAAAATATTAAAAATAGTAAAAGAAAACATCCAGAAAAAAACTATTTTCAGTTGTATTACTAGAATGAGCCAATAGAGGGAGCCAGAGACCATGCTATGAATACTTGTTGGTGAAGAATACATTGCATGGTCTCTTGGAACAAATCCTCTGGAGGCGTCCCACTGTATCAGGAAGACCAAGTATGTTTGAGCATACAGTATATGATTATGAGCCCTGTACATACATAGATCAGGTCTCCAAACTACGCCCCGCAGGCCACATCCAACCCACATTGCCGTTTTGTCAGGCCTGCTGCCTTCAACCTGTGCACGTGCGTCTGTGGGCAGGGGTGCAAGTGGGTGTCCATGCAGAGGGATCATGTATGGTGGTGGAGGTGGGTGGGCTAGCAGTTTACGTGCACGTGCATATTCCTGTTCCTTCAAACCCTCAAAAACCTAATATCCAGTGTGGCCCTCACTGTAAAAAGTTTGGAGATCCCTGTACATAAATGAATGACTTAAGAGCAGACTTTTTTCTGTCATTTAATAAAGTTTAAATAGTGGGTGAATAAGTAAAAAGAACTGACATGTCAGTACTGGAGTCATCCTATGTTGACTTTGTTGTTTTGAATAAGGTTGAACAGGTTCAGTCAATATGCATGGCAAGACAATGATTATAATTCATAATTATTTGCTAATTTGTACTACACACAAGTTAGAGGTGATTTAACTTATGACCACTGTGAGATATAAGCAGGATTCATTTGCAAAATTTCTAAGCTTAAGGAGGTGAAAGAAACCTTTGTAAACTTAGAGACCAGAATCGTTTTACAGTACATATGTATGCTAACATAAGTCAAGCTGTAGGGGTGCAGTAAAAAGCTTCCACTAGTTTAGAAGTCAATACTTATATTCCTTGTTGAATGCTAATACATGTGCCTAGTTTGCAATGAGAAATATGAGTGTTGTTTTCTTAAATAGCATAAACCTGCCACTGTGCTTTATACTATTTTTGACTTACACTGGTAGTATATGTAATAGGATTCTGGCCAGTTTCCAATATGTGCTGTATAATTAGGAAAGTAAAGGGTATGGATTATATTACTGCGGCAAGGAGCCTGTCATAGCTGCCTGGATAGCTCAGTAAGTTAGGTGTCTGGTTGTAGAGCCTGAGGTCAGAAGTTCAGTTTCCACTGTGCCTCATGGAAGAAGAGCCAACATTTGTAGCCTTGGGCAAACTGCTTAATCCCATAAAGCCTTGAGAAGATAATGGCAAATAACCTCTGTGTAATCTACACGTAGAAAACCATGAAGAGGATCCCCATAAGTCAGAATTGACTGGATAGCATACAGTTATTATCAAGGAGCCTGTCAGATTTCAGTAGCTGAAATTTAAGTTGAAAGTGTATGAAAAAAAGACATTCCTAAAGCAAGAATGACTAACGCATGTAGCCATTACTTTGTAGTCTGGAGCTTTAATTAGTGGTATCTTCCATGTGTGCTGTACTTCATATTCTTTACAGTGTGGCTGCTTGGAGGGAACGAAATGAAAGTTCCTTTGCCCAGATGGCAGCAATACTAAGATTATTGTTGATGTTAGCCATATCTTAAATCAGTCTGGATGAATTTTCATTGAAGTAAAAAATAAATAAATGCCATTTTGCTTGAGGGTAATAGGGCAGTACTCCAGTGTACAAAGTGATCTAAAAATCTTGCATCACATTTAACCTCAGTGGTAATTTAAGAAGGCATAAAGCAATTTTGGAGGGTAATTAATAAGCCTTACCTCTAGAGAATAAGGATACTTTGTCTATAGGTTACAGTGTAAGTAGGCAACTATTGAAAATCTGCTACAGTGGTGCCTCGCTTGATGATGTTAATTCGTTCCAGCGAAATCGCTGTAGAGCGAAAACGTCAAGCGAAATAAAAAAGCCCATTGAAATGCATCGAAAGCCATCCAATGCGTTCCAATGGGCTGAATACTTGCTTGTCCAGCAAAGATCCTCCATATGGCGGCCATTTTTGGGTGCCTGTTAAGCGAAAAATGGCTCCTAAAAACAGCGGGGAGCCATTTTGAGCAGCCGGCAGCCATTTTGAAAACCCGATGATCAGCTGTTTTGATCGTAGTAATGCAAAGAATCGGTTCCCGAAGCAGGGAACAGATTGTCACAAAGCGAAAAAACCACATTAAAACATCGTTTTGTGATCACAATTGCGATCGCAAAAACATTGTGAAGCGGATTCGTCGTTATACGGGGTAATCGTTAAGTGGGGCACGACTGTATATCCTTCATCTTGAAGTCAAAGTAAAATGTAATTAATTTTTTTATACTACATTCATTGGTAATTATAAAAAAATAGAGCTTTAAGAGATGTCATGTGCTGTTTTGAGCAAGATTTCTTATGTTAATTTGTCTTTCGTAATTGTAGTTGAGTTTTCAGCACAAGATTGGGATATTGTACTGCAAAGCAGGCCAAAGTACTGAAGAAGAGATGTATAATAATGAGACAGCAGGACCTGCTTTTGAAGAATTCCTTGATCTTTTAGGTCAGAGAGTACGGCTAAAAGGCTTCAATAAATACCGAGCTCAACTAGATAATAAAAGTAAGTTTGAATAACATAGTGGAATAAAAATAAAAAATAAAAAGATTTTGTTCTAATAAAGTATCTTTTATAATTTCCTATTTGGGTATAGCCATCCTGTGTGGCCTTGGGCAAGCTGTACAATCCCAGGACACTCCCAGAAGAAGGGAGTAGTAAACCATTTCTGAGTATGCATACACGGATCTATATGTTAATGTGGGTGTATGATTTCAAGAATTGTCTCAAGAGGTTTATTAGAATCATAGAATTGAGGACTTTGCTGTCTTTGGGCCCTTGGATCCTCTCATTTTCCATATGAGCAGCTGCAATCAGGGATTATCTCATAAAACAGTGCAATATCAGGATCACAACACACTATGCCAAGAGGAAAGGAACTGAAGAAGGCTGCCTTAGACCGGTTATGATAAATTTTTTCTGCATAAGAAAACTACAGAGCCAGCATCCATACTGTACTTTCTGCCGTTATGGTACTAGAACGTCTTCATGGTCTCCATGAATCATACACATGAGTGTTTCTACAGCTGTGCAAAACTGGAATGTTCTGGAGCTTAAAAAGCGAGCCATCACATTAGCCTTCCCTACGGCATATGTCCAGTGCCCAACTGTCATCTGTTAGTTCTCTTGAGCCACCACTGAGGAACATTTGGTAGAGCTAATTTTGTCCCTCATTTTACCTTTTGAGAAATCATTACCTTTTTCCATCCAGTTCTTCACCTCCTGCCTTTCCTTTGCGAATCCCCACCTTAAAAATTCTGGAGAAGAGTTTCCAGAAATTGCACCATTATCGTGAAACTGGTATATCACAATTGAGAGCTCCTCCACCCCTGTATTGTGCCACTATGACCCAGCTCTATTATGGACATGTCCAAGATCAAAGTGGCACTTGCTTTCATTTCTGGAATTTCCAGGAATAGTCAAAGAGGAACATCAGAGTTCATTCAGAGGTGTTCTTTGGCTCTCCCCCGTGCCCAGCTGGTGTGGAGGCTTGGCCTTAAGGTTGCTGGAGCACAACCATGGGTGTACAAAAATTTGTCAGTATCAAACCATAAATGTGCACCTCTTAAGACTCCAGCTGCTGGCACTCAGAGATGCTTGGAATCAAGGTTGTCTACTAGTAAGCAGCCCCAGTCAGTTTCACTGACCCTGCTACTACACAAACATAGGACATCTGATCCAATGTTGAGGACCCTGGAGTCTACTTGAGTCTGATAACCCTCCTCCTTAATTCACCCTTGATGCCTTCATTGAAGACTACTTCACTAAGTAAAGTTGTTGATCTCTGGCTGACATCCCACTGTACTCTTCCAAAATATATTGATGCTGAAGTCCAATGTCAGCGCAATAGCGCCTTTTGCCACCAATATAAGAATCAATGAGACCAGGAAAGTTGAACAAGTCTTCAAGGTTCCCATTGTCCTTTTTAAGACACAGTCGGACGATGCACATAGAGACAGAGCACTCATTTTTATGTATAGTCCATGGTGGTTTGGCTCTACCTGCCTGCCTTCCAGAGTATATCAAAGACATACATATGGGTCCAAATCTAAGAAGGCATATGAAGAAGAATTGGCTGCTGCCTCCCTTGCCCCTGTTGAGAAAAGTTTTGAACTTTCAAGGTGTACTACAGAGAGAAAACCATCTGTCCTCACTGTGGACTCAGTCTAATTTTCTGTCTATAAAACTGAATCATCAGGTGATCTACATCAGTGCTGGCTATCATCCTGGATGCAGATGTGGGATATATAAACCCATCATCACCATTAATGGACTTCCATTCATATTCTGATCTGATCCTCACATTAGCAAAATTGCTGAGCTTAGAAATTCAGAAACCATCTCCACCCGAATCTGGTCCTCTTTATGATCAGATAAACAAACATATTCCTACTCTGGTATAAAACTAGCATGCTTTATACTCTATTTGACCTGGTCAAAGAAGCATGAACCAAACTATCAACAATGCAACCCACATCCAGATGCATTGAGAGTTTATACAAGATCTATGACAATGAAGCTGCTTTTCCTTCTTAAGCAATTATAGGTTACTACTTGTAACATCCTCTTATAAGATAAAAGCTTCTCACTTCTACCCTGCAGAGTTATCAGAACAGTAGCAGCAAACTGCTCATTGGCTAGGAAATTAAGGGATTTTGCAGTGGGCTGGTGTTGGTTTGTACTCTGTCGCAGTGATGAAATTGTACCTAAATAACAGTAGACAATTATTACTTGTCACAGGTGTTGAGTCAGGTGCCCCAGTTACAACTGAAACATGATAACAAGATTGAGGAAGGCTTAGTAAGGATCGAATATATTTGTTTCAATTGGGACAGAATAGTATGCTTTGTTTGTGCTTCAGTCTATTCACTTACCAAATGTTGGGCTTTATTTTCAGCTGATTCAACTGGAACTCATTCCCTTTATACAACGTACAAAGACTATGAAATAATGTTTCATGTCTCAACTATGCTTCCATATATGCCCAGTAATAGGCAACAGGTATGTTCCTTTAAATCAGATTTTTGGAATTGTGTATTTTCCTGACAGAGAATTTGGAACTCCCATGATAGGGGTTTTTTTGTATCTTTTCTGTCAAATTGTTATGAATAGCTTTCAGAAACATTGATCAGAATCCTATACCTTACATACTCTGGCATGTGAGTTGGTGTTCAAGAGGGTATGCAAGTAGCAGCTTCTTAAATAGTGACAATTCACTATTGTGATTTCTGTCATTGCATTTATGCCATTGTACGCAAGCAGTTGAATTCTGGTCTGCAATTTTTTTTTGCCCTGATACATTTGTATTATCTAGGGATTAAAGTGCTTAAGGTTCATAGTTTATTTGTGTTATGATTTAGGAAGTTCTGTTTATCATAAGTATGTATGACAGATGTATTTTTGTCAATACATTTGTCAATGTATTTTGTCTTTCTGTTAAAAAAATTCAATGGAAGTGACATAATTTCTTTTTAAAATGCAAAAATAGGAGAATAAAATTATTTTCAGTATTATTTTATTTAGTGATACAAATACTTTTGGTGCATAATGAAGTGAAATGATCTACTCTCCTGCTTCATAGGAGTATATGCTGAAAAACGCAGAATGTGTGATTTCATTTTTTTACATTGGTTTCTTAACTTTGTATGTTAACTTACACTAATAGAAAATGTCATATTATGCACAAAATGTAATGTGTAAAATATACATATATATTTTATTTCCTTATATCTTATAGCATTAAGGATGGCTAAAATAACAGCATTTTAGGTTTTATAGATTATTTGGGGTTGCAATTTTGTTTGACTGAAATTAATGGCATTTGCCATTAACTTCACTGGTACTAGGGTTACCATTTTTGGTAAGGTTAATCTTGTCTTTGCCTGTACTAGTTGATACAAATAAAATCTTAATGAAGAAGTATGCTGAGTTGAAGATATTCCAGTGACCCACGTTTTTGCACATGCAGGGAGCCATTGGATTGAAGGCTTAAAATAATGATATTGTACAATATATTCCCAAAGCTGTGAATTTATTATGGTAAATAAAAGAACCATTCACAAATGAGATTACTGATTAAAGTATTAACATTCTGCATATCATTATGTGGGTATAGATGAATGAAGAAATACTCTCCCTCCCTAACAATATCCTTACACTTGTTTTCAGACTTACTTGGAAGACTATAAATTCTAGTCCCTTTTTGGTAGTGGGTTTACTTGAAATGGTATTAAAAATATATAGATCTCTTATTAAGGTATAAGAACAAAGTGATCTCAAACTTCTAATGTGTGGTATGGAAATTTGGTAGAATTTGAAGAACTAGGGATTGACAGGAGTGAGATCCACAATTTTATGAAGACTACCACTTAGGTATTAGCTAGAATCCAGTTTACAGGAATGTGGTGGCGCTGTGGGTTAAACCTCAGAAGCCTCTGTACTGCAAGGTCGGAAGACCATCAGTCGTAAGATTGAATCGATGCGATGGAGTGAGCTCCCGTTACTTGTCCCAGCTCCTGCCAACCTAGCAGTTCGAAAGCATGTAAAAATGCGAGTAGATAAATAGGTACTACCATGGTGAGAAGGTAATGCTGTTCTGTGTCTAGTTCCGTGGCCATGTGACCACAGAAATTGTCTACAGACAAATGCTGGCTCTACGGCTTGGAAACTGGGATGAGCACCTGCACCCTATAATCAGACATAACTGGACTAAATGTCAAGGGGAACCTTTACCTTTACCTTAGAATCTAGTTTGCTGGGAAAACATGAAGGCAGTAAGAAAAAAGGAAGACCAAATAAGAGGTGGATTGACTTTATAAAGGAAGCAAAAGGCTTGAGTTTGAGCTATTAATGATAGGACATTTTGGAAGCCACTCCTTCATAGGGTCGCCATAAATTGGAGATAATTTTATAGCACATAACAACACAGTCCAGTTGGTGTTTGTATAATTTGCTACAGCTAATTGACAAGGTGGTAAGGCATGGACATGTCTTGATCATGTGTTTAGTCACACACCTGATTGTCACAGAGATGTGCAATGACATCTTATCAATCAGTCACAGTTTGTTGTGGCAATAAATTATGGGACTTCACAGCAGTAGAATTGCAGTTAATCAGTTATCTAAAAGTGACTAATCTTTTATTAGAGTTGTTTAATAAATGTCAACACCTTTGGTTTTATTATTTTGCACTGTAGTCAGTATTCCTGCACCCTGTTATGTACTATACTTGTTCAGATGTGGGTGCATTTTCAAAGAGACTGACTCCTAGTCACTAAAACTGAAGTGTAATAAAGTGAGACGTTGTCTTAATAGGAAATATCATTGAAGAAATGAGAAACTATACTTGAGTGATAACGTATTATAGTTTCACCACTAAAACCAGTGCTAGAAGAATTATATGAGCAGAAATATTTTCTATGCTTACGATTTTTGGAATCCTCTGACTCATTATGACGCTAAACCCATTTCATAATTCATATGAAAATAATCAGGTTTCAAATCACACAAATTAAAATAGAGATTTGTGTCATCTCCCACTTCAAACATCAAAGGTGATAAAAGTAAGTTGCCATTTTGAGAATTGATGTGGAAGTGTTTCTTGCTTAAATAAGTGTTTATTTATAAGGATTTTAATTCATTTGTTATGCCACAAATGCAGAATATACTGGAATAATAGGACATTTCAGGAACAGTAATCTATCTGTGGATGGTTTAAGCTGCAGGTTTCATACTTGAGTAATATTGATTTGAAATACAGTATTTGAGTTTCACAGGCAATGGCAATAAATAACAGCCTTACTTAATGTTGAATGTTGTTTGTCTTTGTCTTGGCTTTGTCCAGTTCATAAGCATAGAAAACAGCCTTCTACCCTGATTCACTTCTCCCAAAATTGTAAGGTCTCTGTCATCTTCACTGTTCTGTTTGGTTAGCCAGTCATACCACAGCTTCATTTTCTTCCCTTCCCATCTGTCTCTTTTTAAAATATTCCCTGAAGTGTCTTCCTTTCTACAGAAAGTAAAGCCTGTTCTTGGTTTATCCCCAAAATACTCTAGCTCTAATTCCATTATTTTCCTAATAACAAATCACACCCTTCCACAATGTTTTAGTGAACACTCATCAGTCTTTGTACCTTGGACAGTCTTGGTAGATCTAGTAGTTATATCACAATATGTTTCATGGCTTTCTTTTGACAAAAATAATGTGGAATTTTTCCATATGTAAGCAATACTGAGAGCTAAAGGCCACCACATTATTTTGTTATATTGGACTGCAGTGATATTTGCACAGCATGAACACTTATTTGTAAGATGTGATAAGCACACTTAAATAACCTGCATTTAGCCAGCCTTAATGTGTAGAAGAAATAGGCAATGAATGTTTAATTTGACTATCTATTGCTATCTAGTCGCCGTGATATGTTAATATAGAATGTACACACGGATTTGTGGCATGATAGTAAGAATTCAGATAATATAACAATCCTTTCCTTCTGAGGCGCAGAGGTGGCTGAGAAACAACTTTTCAGTTGCATGTATCCTCAAGGGCACTCCTAATCAGCCCTGTGGTATATAAATTCTACTTTGCATACAAAGCTTGTTTTATTTTCTCAAGTTGCTAAGTTGTGGGAACTTCTCATTCTAGTTTCAAATGGCATCTAGAAGCCCAATCTTCTTCCACTTAAGTTATTGTGTGAATAGGTTTATACGTTGGTTCTGTGTTTGTAAATTTACTGGCAAGGTATATAGCCCATTACTGTGACCATTCAGTAAGCAAGGGCTGAACATTTCTTAGCATCCACTTACCTGTGAGCCAGAAATAGGCCACACCAGAATTGTCTGTTGCTTTTTCCAGGAAATAACTACGCCCTGCTTGGTCAATGATCAGGACATCCCTCTAGTTTTAGAGTCAGCAGGAGATCCAAACACTAAGGTAATTTTTCACTTTGGCTACAAAATAGGGTGGGAAGCTTTCACTCTGTATTCTGATCAGAACGGAGGAAGCTACCCACTCTGCTGTGGCCCATACCACCTCCTTGTATTGGCTTTCCTTACAAATCATAATTAAAGGCTTTCCCTGTTGAACCTTTACCCCTACAAACACCCTTCCCAGATCATTTCCTCATAAGATTTTCCTTCACACTTTTGCCATTTGCTTTTGTTATCTTTGGTCAGATCTGATTAATATAAATCTCTGCTCCAGATGTATTTTTATATATATTTAATTGAAAAACAAAAGAAAATAATATATTGGTTCAATATATAAAACTAATCAGAATTCTGTTGTTTGCAATTTGTCCACTTTTAACCAGATCTGGTCAAAACATATAACATCTTTATGTGTAAAATATTAAGTTATTCTTCAAACCTCTTATGAAACCACTTATTTTATATCAACATTAAAATAAGCAGAAGGTTTCACTGTGATGTCTATTCATTCCCCGGTCCATTAAATTGAATGAAGAAAGCTGCTTTGTAGTATATGACAGATAGTTTTGTTGCTTTATCTTGACCCAATGGTTCAGTTTTCCCTCCCTTCAGAGGCTACAATGCCTTTAGCTATCTAGTAATGGTCAGATTACCTTGGGCAACACAGAAATACTGGAACTAACATCTCTTTATATGCCAAAAGATCTGCCTATCTGAATAGTCTCAGCTGCACAGTTAGAGTTGATTCTAGCTGATGATCACTGGCAGATAAAAAAAAATTAAATGAAGCACTGATGGTTGGTTGGCCTGAATGTTAAGGAGAACAAAATCAAAGAGGAAAGATGAAAACACACGACTGAGACTAGATGATATCTAGAACAGCCCTTTTAAAATGTGTCAATACTCCTTTTCTAACTTTATATTAACTGCATACTCTTCCATGGCAAACTGAACTCTCCTGCTAAAATTGATTAATCTTAGTGTTTTATTGGGTTTATATTTATATACATAAAGCCATTCAGGACCATGATCAATATTTATCTATAGGAATATAAGTTATAAGGTAAGTTCTATGAGGATCACTGGAAAGAGCTTCTGAGTAAAGCCTAGGTTAGGGCTGAGGTATATTCTCAGTATATATTAGGATCTTGCTTTATTATTCAAATGCTTTTTTGTGTAGTGATTTGTGTTCGGTACAATAGAAAAATTCCTATTGTAGTTTTGCTTGCTCACATTTATAAAAGCATGGTTGATTAAGCATGCTTGAAATGAGAGCGGAAAGGAAAATGAAGAGCTTTGAAAACAAGATGTAGATGGATGGATGGATAGTAGTCTGGGTTGGAATATTCTGTTTTCTCAGTTTTCAGCCTCTCTCTCTCTTTTTTTTTTTTTACTGTTTTAAAATACGTGCTCCATTACTTTTTCTCCATTCAATTGTATTCCATTTTTTCAACCCTCCCAGAATCAGTGTCTTCCATATTGCCATTCATAAACAGTTTAACTCTCCTTTTCTCTTCCTTGCATCTAAATTCCCTTTTTTGATCACTGATTTGCCTGTTTAATATTATGCTTACCTTTATGGCACTATAGTACTTTTTTGTGTTGATTTTGATAAAATGTTGGCAGTGTCTTGGACCCCATGCAATCTGGTAAGACCTTTAAGAATGAATGAATGTGTTGTAATTAACATGCTTTCCGTACAGAGTTCATATTCATTTAAGTACCTGCTGATGCATACAGAAAACTTATTGCAAATGCAAGTGTTTTCCTCCACAACTGATGACTATTCAGTGAAACTCTGCTACATAACTACATTTTGACTTGTCAGTTGATTTTGGGTTTCACAAGGTAATTCTATGTTTTGCAAAGTTGCAAAAGATAAGTTAATTAGCTTTATATAAAAAAACTAGTTTTATATACACATTTTTGCCTATTTGAATATCCATGGAGATATTAAAAATCTATTTTCTGTGTTTACTTAAAATATTTATATTCCACCTTTCAGCGAGCTTCCTTTACAGGTTACAAAAATACATCCAAATTAAAATAATCAGGAAAAAGTAGTTGGGTA